ATCACATGATTCAAGAATGTAAAATTTTAGCTCCCTTTTAATTTTTTAAACTGTTTAATAAATGTACATTGAATACTCTTGTGTGATTACCATTGTTGTCAATGCAGCAGTGAACAAGACACAATCTTTACATCTTGAGACACCATCTCTGAAACCATTGTGTGATTTACAGCGTGATGAGATTAATTTAAGATTTTTTTAAAGAAGAGTAAAATTTTGGTAAATAGTCCTTCACATACAACCACGCACACACACTACCACCACTGCTAAAGCAACCCTATACACACACACACACACACACCACCCTCCCACTGATTGGTATCAGCTTTCTTAGCACCACAAGTTAAATACTATGGAGAAAGTTATAGGAATAAATGATATATGCCATTGTAGTAGAACATATTTTGTATTTCACTTGATCCATGATTCTGAGGCCTCTCCTACTGGCTCTTTTATATGGAGAAGGAAGGTAAAGGGCTCAGTGGATCTCCTTCTGTATTAGAGTGGCTAGCCTTGAAAACAATTTGTTATATACACCAGATCATGCTGCTAATGAGAAAGAGTTTCCATTAATGATCATTATTCTAGTTTACTAGTGAGGATAAGAATTAAAAGATATTAAATGTGTTATTTTAATATTATTGTTCCACCCATGATTAATATTTGCTTTAATAACATCTGTGGACTATAGCATTCATTATGTACATGAGACGACAAAGTATTAAAAGTAAGTATTGAAAGTACCCCAAATTCTTCAAGGAATCTAGAGGTACTACATTCAGATGTATTTTTCATGTTGCATTTGAACTTATATGTAACCACTAGTGTTGTACTGTTCTTTGCTATTATAATACCATGCTTATCATATGTACTGTGTGTTGGTAATCTGTGGTTAATGAGATCACCTTGGAGATGCCTCAGTATTTTAATACTGGATTATTCCAACCAAAAGAATTAAAAGCATCCTAAATGTGCAGTAGCTGCAAAAAATGTTAAATCTATAGAGGTCATGGTACTAGCGACATTATCACCAATGTCAGATGGATCTTGGCAGAAAGCAAAGAGTACCAGAGAAATGTCTCTCTATTTCGTTGACTATGCAAAGGCCTTTGACTGTGTGGATCACAACAAATTGTGGATAACCTTAAGAAGAATGGAAATCCCAGAACACTTGATTGTGCTCATATGAAACCTATACACAGACCAGGAAGCAGTCCTTAGAACAGACCAAGGAAACCCTTCATGATTCAAAATCAGGAAAAGTGTGTGTAAGGGATGTGTCATGTCTCTATACCTTTCCAATCATTCAGATGGCTGGGCTTTATGAGAAGGAATTTGGCATCAGGATTGGAGAAAGATTCATCAACAATCTATGTTACACAGATGGCAAAACCGTGTTTGATGAAACTGAGGAGGATCTGAAGTGCTTGCTGCAGAAGGTCAAGTACTATAGTCTTCAATGAGGATTGAAGCTCAGCATGAAGAAGACAAAGATTCTTACCGCTGGGCCAATTGGCAGCACCATCACACGTGGAGAAGAGATTGAGGTTGTTAGCACCAGCTTGGCTCCAGCAGTCAGGAAATCAAAAGATTAATTGCAAAGAGAAAATCTGCTGTCATGGACCTCTCCAGAGTACTGAGAAGCAACAGTAAGATGTGCCTGATCTAGGCCATGGTCTTCCCAATTGCTTGCTATGCCTCAGAGATCTGAACAATGACTAAGAATGACAGAAGAAGAATCTATGCCATTGAGTTTTAGTGTTGGCTAAGGGTATTAAACATACCATGGTCCACCAAGAAGACAAATATATCTGTTTTAGAGAAGATAAGACCAAGTTTCTCCTTAGAGGCTAGGATTTTGAAGCTCCATCTTGTATACTTTGGTCATGCAGTTGGAAGGGAGTAATCCTTGGATAAAGACATCATATTTGGAAGGGTGGGGAGTAGTGCAGGAAAGGAAAACCTCAGATAAGATGGATTGATTGATACAATAACTGGGGCAGCTGGGGTAGGTGTGTCGAGTCAGTGAGACTGGCTCAGGACAGGGCAAGCATCAGAGCTGTTGTACATAAAGTCGCCGTGAGTCACAGGCTATTTGACAGCACATAACAAAACAACAATGTAACCTAAAGATAATGTATTATTTGAATGAAATGAAAATTATCTTTCATATAAAGTTCAAAAGTCAGTGTCAGAAAGGCTTAATTTAAATGATGCAAATACTGTTCTAGACCCCAGTGAGACAGGACAATTAAAGCTTTTTTCCTTCTTCTTTTGATCATAAAGAAAAAGAATTAAAAATTAAGCAAATAAATATATAATAATTAAAAATTAATCAAGTAAATATACTATAGACTATGTTTACTAAAAGAAATACAGTGGAAATTCCCTAATATTGAATAATTCATTCGCTAGACAAATTAGAAATGGAGTGAAAGACAGACATTCAGTAATAAGCATTCAAAGACAATTTGGGGTCAGAAAAGCCTATTTCATTAGATATTCCTGCCTCAATCCATTAACTCCTGGGAAGAATGATGTCTCTGGATTGTGTATCAACCTTGCTCTACTTCTTGAAAAGACTGGCCCAGATGGTCAAGGAAAGGGAAGTTTTTGGGGTCATGCTTCTTTTGGGGGTCCTTTTTGATGTGTATTATTGCTCTTCCCTCCCCCACAAAGGCGGGTGTCCCTCAGCCTTTGCCTAGGGTTTAAGTCCACTCAAAGGCATGACTTTAAAACCCTCCAAGCCCTCAAGCCTGAGGCCCTTGGGCCAAATTTATTAGTTTTCTAATGAATATTCCTTGAATGATACAGCAATCTTCTGTCTGTTGGCTGAACTGAATAACTTTGTGTTGCTGTGATGCTGCACACTGTTCCATAGTCTTATCTAATACCATAATTGTTACCCATTATGTACAGTTTTTTGGATGAGCTTCCAGATTTATTTATGCTGGGAAGCAGGAGTAGCATTCACTTCCTAAATTAGATGCCTCTGTAAACTCTACAAACTCTCTTAACTCTTTAAATGTACAGAAATGATTGTTGTTATAGAACAGAGTTATGTACAGGAATGATGTTAGTTATAGAACAGAGCTTAGGTCTTTTGTGCAAAACTTACTCTCAATCGTACTTGACTTCATGACACTTAACCATTGCTAAGTGAAATTAATGCTGTTATATCTGGAGGAACACTCTTCCATTTTGTACATCACTCTTTGTTAATGTGCACTATGAAGTAACCAGGGTTGCTGTGATGCTGAACCTTGTGCCATTGGGGTATCAAATACTAGAATGACTTCCCAATGTGGACAGTGTTTGGTGGAGCTCCCAGTTGTAAAACAGGTTTGGAAGCAGGAGTGGCATCTACTTCCTAAACCACATGTCTCTGGCAACTCTATGAACTTGGTGAAATGACGACAGTTATGGAAAGGCAGTAGGTCTTTTGCTCATAGAGTCTCTATGAGTCATGTTCGACTTGATGGCAATCAACAACAACACAACAACTCTAATTCTAGATTAGAATTAAGACTTTCAGGGACCATTGTATATTTTTCCCCAAAACCTTAAACCGTATTTAGCTGACATCATTTTACAACCATGAAAGTATTTCTACGTTCTGGTATTGTAGCTAGAATATATTTTCCAAGCAGTTTTTCCTAGAATTGTTTCATTATACTCATATTAAGCTCTGCTTGCACTGTCTTTGCACCTTGGATTCTAGCAAAATAGCTTCTCTTATACTGATTCTAGTGCAATAACAAATACCTTTTACTCTTTGCTGGAAACCATGACAGTGCTCATAAAATGAGATTCTAGGAGTTAAAACTTGATCTTTAGTAAATGTACCTTTTTGACAAGTCAGAGGCTTACTGTATATTAGGTAGCTTATATACTTCTAATGTTACAGAACATTATCACATTTTGCAATTTAATTTTTAGTACAAATAAAAGGAAAAGATGAATCAATGTCTTTGAAATGAGGTGTTGGCAAAAAATATTAAATATTGACTGAAAAGAAAAATACATCCCAATAAACAAAAATTAAGGAAATCTGTCTTGGAGGAAACACAACCAGAGTTCTCTTTAGAAGTAAGGATAAGGAAATTTCCTCTCACATACGTTTTTGCATATAGTCCTCAGAAGAAGCTAGTCCTTGGCAGAACACATAATGATAGGAAAGTTAGAGACAAAGAAAGAGGAACACCTTCAATAAGATGACAGTGAATGTTACTATGGACTTGAGCATGGCTGAAATAGTGAGGACAACACAGAATAAGGCAAGATCCAATCTATTGTTGACTACATGGCACTCAACATCAACAATATTGGGAGGTTTTATTTAGGAAAATTGAGAAAGTCAGAATCACTAAATTGAGATTCATTATAATTTTGCAGCCTGTATATTTCTCTGGAATGCACTAATGATGACTACTGTCCTCTGACTTGGGGAGGGCCTGCTGTGCCATCAACTTGAGTACAATTCATAGAGACTCTTTCAACAGGACATCTGAGCCCTGACCTATCCTGCTGCACCCTTAACATCTCTAACACAGCCCAATCTATAGTTTTAGTCACTGTGTCAATCCATCTGGTTGAGGGTCTTCCTCTCTTTTACCAAGTACCAACAATGATGTCCCTTTCCAGGGAATAGCGTCTGATAAATAACATGCCCAAATATGTGAGATGAGGCTTCATCATCTTTACCTTTAAGGAACACTTTGTATGCACTTTCCCAAGACATACCTATTCTTTTGTCAGTCCACGGATATTCAGTAGTGTAACACCACAGCTCAAAGTTATCAACTCTTCTTCTGTCATTCTTGTTCACTGTCTATCTCACAGAAGCATAGCAAGTGATTGAAAAGACCATACCTGAGTCAGGTGCACTCAAGTCTTCAAACTGACATTATTGCTCCTCAGTAATTTGTAGAAGCCCCTCGCAGCAGACTCCCAATGCAATACATTTCCTGTTCATTCAGAGCTTACTTTTTCTCTTATAGCCACAATATCCTTCTCTACGAAGATGGGCATGCTGTGGTGGCAGATTTTGGAGGTAAAATTTCTATGAATAACACCCTAAATAGCCTCAGTTTCCTTCTTCAATCCTCATTACTCCCTAATGTTTTATGATCAGTCTAAAAATTCCTTTGACATTGACAGCTATGCTTCTCCAAGTCATTAACATTCCAATGACTGCACATTTTGAAAGTATGATATTTATTTTCAGGTTTTCCACATTTATAGCCTGATTGACGGGGGGGGGGGAGAACACAACTAACATAGATTAAATAGGATTTCCATTCTTAGACGTAATATTTTACTTTGGTTTTGAGATGGTTCCTTATTGTGAATTTGTTTCTTCTCTCCTTCAGAATCAAGATTTCTGCAGTCTCTGGATGAGGACAACATGACAAAACAACCTGGGGTTTGATGCTGCCTATGTTCCCTATAATTGCTGATCAATTAAAATGTGTACAATCAGCCAGAGAGGAAGGGAGATCAGAGTAATTTTAACTGGAAGCAATGTTGCTTTCTCTGCAGCAGAATAACATCTTGTATTTTTATTCTAGTATACTGGTCCTTGGAGAAGGATATCATGCTTGGTAGGGACAGCGCAGGAGGGGAAGACCCTCTATGAGGTGGATTGATTCAGTGACTGGGGTATTTGGGATGGGTGTATCGGAGACAGTGCAATTGGCACAGGACAGAGTAGAGTTTAGGGCTGTTGTACATAGGGTCGCTGTGAGTTGCAAGTGACTCGACGGCACATAACAACAACAACATACCCCAAAAGTATTATTTCAGAGCTCTGCTAGAGAGACAAATTAAAAAAAAAAAATTCTGTGGATAAAATAATACTGAATTTGTTTTGATTATAACTGAAAAGAATGCTTAGATCTCATTAATATCTCTTGAGGTGGTTTTGGTGGAATGGTCAGTAGTGAATTGTACTGCTAATCCAGTCTTTAGTGGTTTGAATGCACCAGCAGATCCACAAGAGAAAAATGTGCAGTCTCCTCTCTCTGGTATTTACTGGGTTAGAGGCCTGCTGGGACATCTCTGTGGGTTAGAACCAACTATTTGGCTGTAAGTTTGAGCTTTTAATTTTTTTTTCAATGGTTCATGGATGTCATTTTTTGTACACAATGGTCAAAAAAGCAAACAAGTCATGTAACCAGGGTGCTTCTCACAGGCAAAATTAGTAAATGTTCATCTCATATATTTTGGGCTTGTTATCAGGAAGGACCAGTAGTAGAAAAAGGCATCATGCTGAGAAAGGTCTATGAAAGATTGGAAGATCTTCAACAAGATGGAATGACACAGTGACTGTAATAATGAGCTTGAGAATTTTGGAGATCCTGAGGATAGGACAGGAGAGGGCAGGGTTCTGATCTGTGCTCATAGGTTCATCATGAGTGAACGAAACACATAACAATTATATCTACTATTCTAAAGATTGTCAGTTCAAACTCGCTCAGCCGCAGCAGCAATGAAAAAATAAAGCCCTAATGATCTGCTTCTATAAAAATTGTAGGCAAGAAAACCCTATGGATTAACAATCTAGAAACAGGAAATGAAATAATGGAAGGAATTAGGGAAGGGAAGAGAAGAGTAAAGGGAGACAAATGTGTGTCAACGGATGAATGGAAGCCCAACCTTTCTGTAAATTTTCATTACAACCCCAAAAATAAAAGAATAAAAGCCTATGGAATGATTAAGAGTCACCAAGAGTAGGAAATGATTTAATGCAATGTACTTGGTTTTATTTTACTAAGTAGCCAAGAGGCAAGTGCAAATTTTAGCTCAGTGCTAAAATTCATGCCTCTCATGACAGAGATGCAAGTACAGTTCTCAGCCAATCTGTCGATAGAGGCTTTTGTATTGTTATAATGCTAAATGAGCTCTAGTGAGGTTTTGGCTGAAAATGGACCAAGAAGCTCTGATGATCTGCTTCCAAAAATCAAACAGAGCTCTATCAATCACAATGATACAACCAGGAAGCAGTTCATCTCCTTGTGAGTTGGAAAATGAAGAACTTACTCTAAGCCAACTAATAGTAACAGCATTAAGTGTTGTAGTTAATATTTAATAGGTAAATGATTACAAAAAATGTGAAGAACTTGACATATTTCAGCAAACAAATGCTTCCCTGCACATACTCAGCAGGTGAGATTTCTTATGCCAAGAGATCTGGAGGACAACTCCCTGGTCAACTGACTGAAAGAGGTATACATTTAATCCCATTTCTCAAAAGGGTGACTCAACAGTGTATAGAAATTATCAAACGATATCACTAATATCACACTTAATCTAGATACTGCTGACGATTATTCAGAAACAACTGAAGCAGTACATCAGCAGAAAACTTCCAGATGTGCAGGCTGGGTTTAGAAGAGACCATGGCACTAGGGACATCATAGCCAACATTAGATGGATCTTGGCTGAAAGCAAAGAATACCAGAGGAATATATATCTGTGTTTTATTGACTATGCAAGGTATTTGACTCTGTGGATCACAACAAATTGTGAATAACCTTGAGAAGAATGGGAATCCCAGAACATTTAATTGTGCTCATGTGAAACCTTTACTTGGACCAGGAAACAGTCATCAGAACAGAGCATGGAAACACTGCATTGTCCAGGATCAGGAAAGGTGTGTATCAGGGATGCATCCTATCTCCATACCTTTTCAATTTATATGCAGAATAGATCATTTGGGAGGCTAGACATTATGAGGAGGAATGTGGCATCGGAATTGGAGGAAGATTCATCAACAAACTGCGTAACGGAGATGACACAATCTTGCTTGCTGAAACTGAAGAGAACATGATGCATTTGCTGCAGATTGTCAAAGACTGTAGTCTTCAATGTGGATTGAAGCTCAACATCAAGAAAACAAAGATTCTTACCAAAGGACCAATTGGAAGCTTCATGATGGGTAGAGGAGAGATTGAGATTGTTGATAAACTCAGCTTGCTTTGTTCCACAATCAATACTCTTGGCACTGGCAGTGAGCAAATCAAAAGATGAATTTCATGGAGAAAGTCTGCTGTCAGGGACCTCTCTAGAATGAGGAAGAACAACAATGTCAGCCCAGACCAAGGTATGCCTGATGCAGCCTACAGTCTGAAATTACTTGCTTTGCTTCTGAGAGCTGAAAAAAAAAACAATTAAAGATGATAGAAGAAGGGTGGACACCTTTGAGATGTGGTGCTGGAGAAGAGTTTTGTACAGGGAACTGCCAGGAGAACAAACAGGTCTGTCCTGGAGAGGGTAAAATCGGACTTCTTTCTGGAGGCAAGGATTTTGAAACTCCATCTCACATACTTTGGCCACGTGGCTCCTGCACTTACCCTCTGATCATTCCCAGGCCTACTCTTCACTTCAAGGTCCTATGACTATTTTCATGATCTATCATCTGCTTTGAAAGCCACTCACTATTCCTCCACTGATGGAGTCTCTCATCTGCATGTTATTGTTGTTGTTACTATGAGTCAGGATCTCCTAGTTGGCTTTCAGAGACAGTTAATCACATTGGAGGAGATTTCCCATCTTTCTCTCATGGAGCCACTGATGAATTTTAATCACTTATCTCTGGGTTGGTATTGCAGTTCCTTCACCTTGTATAGTCCAGGCAATTTATCTATGTACACACAAATACTCACATATACAGAAAAAAACCTTTCTTTTCCCTTAGTGCTTTTGTAGATGTTTGTTTACACTGATAGTTGACTCATATTCATTCAAATAGCAAACATTTATTTAAAGCCTCCCACATGTGAAGCATTGTACAAATGGCCAGAAATGTAAAATAAAATTTTTAAAAATTGTTATTGACTTCAAAAAGCTTGTTGTCTATCAAGGGAAACATGGTAATAGGCAAAGAAATTTAAAGCTATGTGCAATTTCGGTAAGAAGCATACCAAAGTATTATGGAGTTCTTTATAGAGAGAAGGGTAAACTACAATGATTTTCAGCACGGACTGTATATTAAAATTTCCTTAGTAAATACAAGTAAGTGTAAAGCCCAAATGGGACCCCTCAAAATTCTATTCAATTGATTTGGTGTTGATCTTTGGTATCTATGTTTTTTATAAATTTTTAAATACTGGTTTATTTAAGTTCTTATACATTGTGTTTCACACTGGATCTTTCCCGTTTTCTTCACACACAGCCCCCTCCTCTCATCAGATTGTGAGACCCTCTGTCCTTGCCCATCATCACCTCTCCCTTCTTTGCCTCTTCCTCTTCCTCCTCCATCCTCCCTCTTCTCTCCTCCATCCTCCGTCTATCCTATCCCTTCCCTACTTGTATCCTCATGCTCACTCTACAATAATGATCTTATACAGTATTTGTCCTTATGGAACTGAGTTAGTTCACTCAGCATAATGCTCTCCAATCCCTCCCAAGTTAGGTAGTGATTTACAAAATCATTGTTCCTGTATGCTGTGTAGTATTCCATTGTGTGAATGTACCATAGCTTCTCAACCCATTCTACTATGGTTGGAGATTTGGGTTGTTTGTATGTTCTTCTGATGTTGAATAATGCTGCCATGAACATTGGTATACAAGTCTCCATTTGTGCCTCAGTTCTCATTCTCTCTGGCTATATTCCAAGCAGTGGAATAGCTGGGCCATATGAAATTTCTATGTTCAGTTTTTTGAGGAAGTGCTATGCTCTCTTTCAGATTGGTTGTACTATTTTACAATCCTACCAACAGTGTATAAGAGTTCCTTTCTCACCACATCCATGTCTTCTTAAAATTTTATAGGTGATTCTAAGATGTAGGTAGTTAAAACTAACTGACTAAATAAACTTTTATTGAATGAAATTGAAGTAAATTGAACCAACTACAGGTAATATTTATCTCTTTATCCTAATGGCATAGTCTTTAAGCACAAGCACTACTTTATTTTTGTAGGCTACTTTAGTTATTACAATTTTATGTAGGCCTAAGTAAATTCCCTAATTACCCTGTTGCTACCCTTTACAAAATAAGCAATGCTGTATACCTACTTTCACTTGCAATGTTGACACATGTATAATCTACTATATAAAAGGAGGTTATTTCAAATATGAAAACACATGGGAAGAACTACATATGAGCACCATAATCTGAATAAAGATATTCTTAGAAAGCTGTAATTATATATGACTTTAAAGTAAGGTAGACACTTAAAAAGAATTCTCAGCAACTAGCATTATATATAGATGATCAGTAAGGGTAGTGAAAGAATACTAGTTTACTTTAGTGGAAAAATAAAGATGTTAGGTGATGTTCCTTGACAGGATATGAAGCCCTAGGAGTTTAGAACTTTGTCCTTATTTTGCCCACAAGAGATTGAGATAAAGGAAACATAAGAAACTTGCCTATTTTCTTGTTGTGTACCATGAAATTGGATACAACTGGCACAGAGGGTGATTGCCCCTCCTTCTCTAGAGGAGTATCTAGTGGATTTGAACAATATGCCTTCAGGGTTGCAGCATAGCTTCTTGCCACTAAGCCACAAGAGTGCCCAGAAACTTGCCTATTAATAAGAGAGATTCAAATCAAAACTGTAATGAGTTACCATCTCAGCCCAGTAACAATGGGAATGTTTAGCAAGGCAGCAAGCAATGAAAGTTGGAGAGAATGTGGCAAGTTGGAAACACTCACACACTGTTTGTGGGATTGTAAAATGGTGCAATTACTCTGAAAGGCAGTTTGGCATTTCCTCAAAATGCTGAACATAGAAACTCTGTATGACCCAGCTATTCCACTACTAGAAATATAACCCCAAGGGAATTAGAACTGAGACACAAATGGAGACATGTACAGCAATGTCCATAGCAGCATTATTCACCATCGCAAGAAAATGGCAATACCTCAAATGTCCAACAACAATTGAATGGGTTGAGAACAGTGGTACAATTACACAATGGAATACTGTGCACCACTCAGGAGCAACAATTTTGAAAAATAATACTTAACTTGGGAAAGACTGGAGAGTATTATTGTGAGTGAACTAGCTAAGTTTCATAATGACAAACACTGCATGTTGCTGTTGTTGTTAAGTGCTGTCAAGTCGTGGGGGACTCATAGCGAGCCTGTGAATGAAAGTCCTCAACACTTGTATGACTTTCATCCTTTCTCCAGGTTCATAGGGTTTCCTGAAGCAAGCTATTATGGAAGTGGATGCCACTCTTGCTTCCAAGTTTGTTTTTATTAGGGAGCTCCACCAAATACTGTCCGCCATGGACATAAATACTGCATAAGACTATTATTATAAAAATAGAAGGATAAATAGTAAAACATATATAGGTTTCTAAGAGCAGAAGGGGTGGGAGCAGAGTGGTGAGGATGGGTAAGAGTGAAATCACAGGCCTGCACAATTTGGTGAGTGGAGGGAGGGGAAAAAGGAAATAAGAAAGATCCAACGCGGACCTGAAATGATGGGCATAGTCTAATGATGATTAATTTTATAAAGAAAAATGGATGGGAATGATTGTATTAAATAATTTGAATGAAGAATAGAGTGAAATACAAAGTATAAAAACTCTGTAAGCAAATCAATATAAAACAATTTTTTTTTAAAAACAAAAACAAATAAACTTGCCTAGACAGCCCATCTCCATACTTTTTCAACCTATATGCAGAACAGATTATCCGGGAGGCTGGGCTCTATGAGGAGAAATGTGGGGTCAAGATTGGTGGACGATTTATCAACAATCTGCATTATGCGGATGACACAACCCTGCTTGCTGAAACTGAGGAGGACCTGAAGCACCTGCTGCAGAGGGTCAAGAACGGCAGCCTACAATATGGATTGAGGCTCAATGTCAAGAAGACAAAGATTCTCACCACTGCACCAATTGGCAGCATCAGGATGGATGGTGAAGAGATTGAGATTGTACACAGCTTTAGTTTGCTTGGCTCCATAGTCAACAGTCTCGGGACCAGCAGCCAAGAAATTAAAAGGTGCATTGCCATGTGAAAGTCTGCTGTTAGGGACCTCTCCAAAGTACTGAAGAGCAATGGTGTCTCTTTGGAGACTAAGGTGCGTCTGATACAGGCCATGGTCTTCACAATCACCTGTCATGCATCAGAGAGTTGGACAATGACCAAGGAGGATAGAAGGAGAATTGATGCCTTTGAGCTGTGGTGCTGGAGAAGAGTATTGAGAATGCCATGGACTGCTAGGAAAACAGACAGATGTGTCCTGGAAAGGGTTAAACCAGGTGGCTCCTTGGAGGCAAGGATTCTGAGGCTCTGTCTAACATACTTTGGACATGTTGTGAGAAGAGACCGGTCCTTGGAGAGGGACATCATGCTTGGGAGGGTGGAGGGACAGCGCAGGAGAGGAAGGCCCTCTATGAGGTGGATTGATTCAGTGACTGGGATAATTGGGATGGGAGTGTCAGAGACAGTGCGATTGGCGCAGGACAGAGCGGAGCTTAGGGCTGTTGTGCATAAGGTCACTATGAGTCGCAGGCGACTCGATGGCACATAACAACAACAACAACAGACAGCCCAAAGAGTCAGTGACTGTTTTAACAAGAATTCTCATCTTCTAATTAAAAATTCAGTGCTCTGCACAACTAACCAAAGTGATGCATTTGCTTTCTGAAGGGAAATTTTATTTCTTAAGGTAAAGAATATGTGGTTGAAAATTAAGAGAATGTAAATAATACCATTTTATGACAATCTGAAGATAGCGCTTTTGTGCCATTTTGTTAGTTTTCTTTCTGGGATATTACACCAACAGCACTCAAAAATAACACATCTGGGGAAACAAAAAAGATATGAAAGACATGCATTTTTGCTTGATATGCCCTTCTGGCTCTTTATGACCTCAAGCAGAAGAACTCTATTTACTATCCTAATTTAGTGACTTTATAACTAAAAGGCCTGGACCAAGGAGATACCTTCAATGTGACTTGATTCACTGTCAGGACATAATGGAGTCCCTGAGAGTAAGTTCATGACTGGCTGTTCTGAAGTTCATAAAGCTTCTAGAAGGAAGACATTGGTAAATAAACAGCAGTGTTGTTCCTGTTGTCGTCAGATGCTGATACTCTTGGGTCAGTTCCAACTTAGCAGCCCTAAGAACAACAGAATGAACCACTGCCTGGCCCTTCACCATCCTCACAGTCCTTGGGGTGTCTGGATCCATTGTGGCAGCCACTGTGTCGATCCATGCTGGCAAGAATCTTTTTCACTAACCTCCTACTTTACCAAGCATCATGTCCTTCTGCAGGAATTAGTCCCTCCTGATAATAGATCCATGTTTCATGATACAAAGTATTAACAACCTACCTTCTTGTTTGTTGTTGTTTGCCAACAAATAGGAATTGACTCATAGCTAACCCTCTTTTGGGTTTTCAGACATCAGAGAGATTACCCATCTTTTCCCCACAGAGGAGATAGTGGATTCAAATCACTTGTTTTAGGATTAGCAACCCAGCTTCTTACCACTGGAGCTCCCTACCCATCCTTGCTTATGAGGAACATTCTCACTGCAGTTCTTCTAACACAGATTTGTTCATTCTCCTGGCAATTCATGTTATATTCAACATTTTTCCCCTAAGCCACAATCCAAAGACTTTAGTTTTTCTTTAGTCTATATTATTCCTTATCAATTTTTATGCATATATAAGGTGTTTGAAAATGTCTGGCATAAGACAACCACACCCAAGTTAACTGGGGTCTTTGCTTTTTAACTCAGTGAAAAAAATTATTTGCAGTAGATTTTCCCAATATATTAGTTGGTCTCTTGACAGGTCCATTTATGGGTTTAAACTGTGGATTTAAGAAGAATGAAATAATTGATAATTTTCCTTTTTTCCCTCTGTTTGTGATAATACTGTTATTGTTCTAGTTGGAGAATTTTAGGGGTTTTTACAATGTTAGTGTGTAAACTATACAGAAGGTTGTAGATTTTGATCTTCATCAGTATATCAAGTTATCTTTACTTTCAGAAAGCAAGATTATATCCACTGTATATAGTAGGTTGTTAATAAATCTTCCTCCAGCTTTCATGCTGTGATCTTCTTCTCAGATTATTTTCTCAACATATAGATTAAGTAATTTAAAACCATTTAATTGAAACCATTTAAGCCATTCAGTTCTGTTCAAACAACTGTTTTTTCTATGTCCAGGTTCACCTTGTACACAATTAATTCAAATTCTTCGCAATATTGCTCATAATTTGCTGCTGTTCTTATGTGAACATAACAATATAACATAAATGTTGAACATACATTGTTCATGCTGCTGTTGTTTTGTGCCTTTGAGTCAAAACCAACTCACAACTGATCCTTCACTGAGTTTTCAGAGGCTGTGAATTGGACAGGAAGAGATTGTCAATCTTTCTCCAGTGGAAAAGCTTGTAGAGTCAAACTGCCTACCTTTCGGTTTGGGAATGTAACACCATGCCCGCTAGGCCATCAGAGCTCTTTGTGTTCCTGCCAAAATAACCATTTTTTATGAGACAGAGGTTTTTGATTTGTGTAATTTCGTAAAAAAAAAAAGTGTATTTTATTTATTATGATGTTTATGTTAAAAATATATATTTTAGGCTTTTTTAAATGAGTAAAAATGTGCACTTAAGAAGCTAAACAGCACAATTATATGTATGTATAGTCTCTTTGAGAGAATCAGAAAATAATTACCAAATCCTCACTTAGAAGAACACAGTTATACAGTTGAAAAGTGAAATGCTTTGCCAGTGACATGCAGATATTCCTTGGCATATAGAATCTCCGTTGGATGGCTCCTGAGGTGTTCACCCAGTGTACCCGCTACACCATCAAAGCTGATGTCTTCAGCTATGCTCTGTGTCTGTGGGAACTTCTTACTGGAGAAATTCCATTTGCTCATCTCAAGCCAGGTAAAATATATTGCCGTTAAAAGCCCCTGTATTCTAAAAAAAAGTCACTGTATTCTAAAGTTCAGGTATTTTCACAACCGTAGGAAACATTTTTTTCCTCCCTCAAATAATTATTTTCTATGAGATAGCAAAGAGAAGTAAGTAAAAAATTTTAAAGTTTTTTTAAGATATGTTCCCAGTCTGAAAGAACTAATGACCCACCTCTGGGATTTTAAACACAGGTACACAGAAATGTAGGCGTATTTTATTGAAATGTAGAACTTTGATTTATGTGTTGTTAATAAAACAAGCAAACTATTATGGCTGTGTGGCAGATAGGTGCAAATAATATGGACAATGTAATATTTAGTTTCTGAAATTAGATTTTAGAAATGCCTTTTTGTGTGTACACAGAATTGAGTTGAAAGTAGCAAGATATAGAAGTAACTTATCAAAGCTATTTTCTGTGTGTCTCACATTATACAAAAGAGAACTACTTTCCTTCGTAATTTTACATGACATATATGGATATATTCCAAAAATGGAGCTTTGTGAGTGAGATTCATTTTGGTTCGTAAGATATATTATGCTCTATGTATATGTATTTGTGTCTATCATCCCATGTTATTTGAGTTTGCCTTATATCTCGTTATACTTTATTTTGCTGTGTACTTTTTTGTAGCCTTTAATAAAGAGCCTTAGAGGTGCAGTGGCTAAAGAACCAAGCTGCTAACTGAAAGGTCAGCAGTTTGAACCCACCATCTCCCTGGGAGAAAGTTGAGGCCATTGACATTTGTAAATATTTATAGCCTTGGAAACCCTCTGGAGCACTTCCTCTCTGGTTGTTATGAACTAGGATCAACTCATTGTCAAAGGAGTTGGTGTTGACTTGTTGTTAGGTACTTTTGAGTTGAGACTGTGTGGATCATACCAAACTATGGCTGACTCTGAGAAGAATGGGAATC